GCATACTCTTGGCGGTATTTCCTATCTGATGAGACCACCTGTGTGACGGGGTCTGCATATTTTTACGGATGCTTAAACCGTTGCACGGATTTATGACTTTGAATAATGAATCCGACGGGAAAACGCCATGCGTTTGAATAGCAACCTGACCAAGGGCGTTGACAGCTTGTAAACCAATACCTGTAACTCATCAACGAAAGAGGTTCTTACTTCTCTTGTTACCAATGCTGTTTGTAAAGCCAATCAATTATTGCGCAGCATGTGGTGTGTAATTTACTTCGTGCGTGAAATCTCTACGACCTTGCTGTACGGTCAAGCTCAACGAGCATACAGCTTAAACCGTTTCGCGGGTACCTGATCAAGGCCCACTTTTCCTGGAGCTGCTGGCTTGCGGCTCCAGATTTTGCCCGACACGGAATTGCTGTCAGTTCAAGCAAGACAGAGACTCGTGGGACAACTGGAAATATTTCAACTCCTTTTAATAGTTTCTATATTAATTTCCTAGCACGGTTTCATAAGGAATCGAAAATCAGCACACTTTCATGGTCGTGTGTCCAATTTGCAGACCGTTGCCAGCAATTTGGACGTGGCAATACAAATACGTGTTTAGAGGCTGCAGGGTCGACCAATGTAGAATGGGATGAGTGATCTTCAAGTATTTCACATCTGACGAATTTGCCGATAATTACCTTGCCCCCCCCTTGTTTCCCATGGCATTTTTTTAATCTTGGAAGATCCCAATAAGACACTGTTGGGCCCGACATAAGTTTTTTTTTCACTGTTCTTAATGACCTATTAATTAGTTGCTTTGAACATATTATTCTCTGCTGACCCATAATTCTTGCAAACTGTACATGCGTGTGGGGACCAGTTCCTTGCATGTACCCTGTGCGAACCAACATTCTCTGTTTAGCAACCCACCGACTGTCTACGCGTTTTTAATTTCCTAATAACTAGAGATAAACGCCTCGATGATTACTGCAAATACGGTCGTGTGAAACCTGACAAGCAAGAAATCAGTTGGAGTGGTATTCGTGGTGTTATATTCTATAATAATATAACCAGCTGTAGTGAACTGCGTAATCTTTTCTATTTTGTTGCTAAAAAGAAGATGTGCTTACCTTTTGGAATATTAACACGCTTCGGGATCTGGCAAGGTTAGAATCTACGCAATTTCCAAAGGAACCTGCTCTTGGAGCTCCTCAAAACGCTCATCGAGTACTTTGAGGTTTCACTGAATCAAAATGCTCACGGAACATCCGCTGTTGTAAGCCGTAGTCCGAGAGAGGGAAAAATTGTCCCCACGCAGAAGTCACGCGAGCAGGTCGATCGCTGACTGTCGAGGAAAGGATCCCTCGCTGTGCCGTTAATGACCGACAGCCACACATGCGGGATGGTTATAATCGCTGCGCCGCCGTCACGTGGGGGCGAGTTCAGCCAGCCTTGAGTGGCTGGGTGATGTAATAATTTGCTTACGTGAAGCAGAAGAGGCGGGGATTGGTGCCAGGATTGAGCAGGGATAGAGTGTGCCATACATCACCGCATCGTCACCCTGCATGTGATGTGTTGATACCCGCTAGCCCGTCCTTTACACCAGTAAGACGCTTAAAGAAAGAGTCATCTTGTTGAAAACAGAGGCTTGTGAACGGCAATTGTTGCTGGCAAGCTGTCCATTCTTTCTTATAATCCAAATGGAAGAATTTGGGCCCTGGAATGAACCTTAAGACGGCTGTATTTTTAACTAAACCTAAAGGAAGAGTCTACGTTTAAGTATTTCATTCATTTTGAATAATTTGTAACACTAAGTAGCGTAACTAGGGGTATTATGTACGGGGGGCACCCGGGGGTGCACACATTTTTTTAAGGAGGCACCAAAAGACAATGAGCTGCAGCAGTGGTTGTTCTTTAATTTCACATGAGGGGCAGCCGGGGGCACGGGTTACGCCACTGCTCAGGACACCCATAATCCATGATTTGAATGTTAATTAAGCTGTCCGTTATGAGACTGTTTTCTTCCCTTGGCTGCGAACTTAATGGACCTTTTCATTGACAAATTTACAATTATGCAGGCACGAGCTCAAATGACCTTGGCGGCATGAAGTAAGAGCTGGCCATTGAACACGTGCGGGGGTGCGATTTTGATCTGGTTCATTACATTTTCTCTCAGGTTTTCGTCTTTGTTCATTTCGTTTTTTTTGTCAGAAAAAAATTAAATTGTTTTTGCTATAAAACAGCACGAAAGGAGACCGGCTTAGATACCACAATCTCGTGCGCACAGGAAAATCACAATTATAAAGTCTTTTGATAGAGCACGAAAATGCCTCTTAGATTAGAAACTAACAATTTTATGGTAATTTCTGAAGACAAAATGAACAAATGCAGAAAACCTGAGAGAAAATGATCAAATTCACACCGCTGTACGTTTCGATGGTCCGCTCACGCTTCTTGCCGCCAAGGCTATTTGTGCGCATGCGAGAAAAATTAGGAATTTAATATGAAAAGGTCTGTTGAAGCTTATTTAGCATGATGAATGCTGTCCATTGGCTCACGGCATTACTAATTTTGCTCAAGTCTCTGTATAGCAATCGGCAAGTAAAGTAGCTTACATGAAATGCAACATTATGAAGCAAGATATGGGACGGAGAGCACCCCCTCCAACCTTTGTGTTGGTTATTGTTTGATTGGAATCTCTGGAATTCTTTGCAGACCTGGGGAAATGTGTTAGGTATAATAGTCTTAAGTGTGTTTAGGGATTGGGCATGTCAGGGGGGTACCCCTCCGTCCCATATCTTGCTGGGTATACTTGCTAGTTATAAAATACAAAGAAATTTCTGGGTAGTAAAAGTATTTTTTAAATACCGCTTCAGTGGTCAATGTACATTCAGAAACGCACCTGAAACAACATCTGACAAAGGAATGCGTAGTATCAGAAAGTTACGAGGAATGAAGGGCGAATTCGGTGGAGCGGGTTAGCGTGGGGGTGCTTTCCCCGCTTTGCACCAAAGAGGCCCGGGTTCGAGTCCCGCCTCGGCCCAGGCTTTAATTGTATTTGGTGTCTAGTCCGTACTCGCTCTCGCAGGTTTTTTTCCGGGTACTCTGGTTTCCTCCTGCCTCTAAAACTGGACCTTGTTCCTGACTCTGTAATGTGATGCTGATTAATAAAGATACTGAATAAACGTATAGTTATTTACGCAAATAGCCTGAGTAACTGAAAACGCCATTAAAACGCTACAATAAGGACCAATTTTCGGGATGAAAAGACGTTGAAGCATTTGATTTTTTTATTAAGTGAAAAATTGCCGATTACTTTCACTAAAAAAGCGTTGTTCTTCAGTTTTGGTTTTGTTTTTTTGGAACTGTAAGCTTTGAGTTTTTATTGATTTTGTAATGGATTTGATTTGTTTAGTTTTGATTTCGGGATTTCTGTATTTTTTTTCGTTTTGAGGAGTTTCAGGATCTTCTAACTTTTTAGCGCAAAAGAGTCTCTTACTCTAAGAGAAAACTCTTCAAAAGTTTTGTGTTCCTTTATATACAATTGAAAATGACAATGTCAGGAAATAAATTCAGTCATAACGAAATTAGGTCGATGCGCGGGTCGCTACATATTGGCCCGAATAATCTTATCGGGACAGACAATTTTTGCGAAAAATACAGGACAAGCTTTGTAACCAGAAATAAAAGACGGAAGCAATTGGAAGGAATGACCGTGGACGAGTGAGCCGCAAGAGGGGAAATTGCGAAAATATACCGTCAAGTGACGTGTTCCGTACGAAGCATCAATTGAATCACCCCAGTGTCCATGTATCGCCGCCAACATATTAAATTTACCGGCGTGAACATGTCGCCATGGCAATCCGGATGGGCCTGTGTATTCTAGAGTAGAGAAATGGGCCAAAACAACAGAAATCACGCAGGAGGTATGGCATTTAATATACATATCCCAGCAGAGGGTATACCGTACGTCGCTAATAGCCCAATGTGTTTTTCGAAACTTGAGCAAGGTCGGTTTTGCATGTCTTCGGCAGTCTGCCTACATGGGGATGCGTACCTTGAGTAAAAATGCATGATGATTATCGGAAGTTACATGATATTACTTTGTTTTTGGAAGCGTTTTTTGAAGCACAAAAGAAGACGCTATAAAACGTAATCTTATCAGTCAAAATTTCAGGTTGCCATAAAGGGAAGTAAGAGTAGAGCGTATTTTTCACGACCATGTGTAGTGATATGAATACAAATACGCATTAGATAGTAAATGATACATTGTCGGTTAATTTAAAACAATAAATTAATTAGTGCAAAACATGCAACAGTATTCTGTGATTTAGTTGTTTCGATGCATTGGTTTCTTTGCAGTTCGTTTTCTTTGGAACCGAGTAATAGGCAGCTCGGACCAAATGCATGAATTCTCTTCTACCAAAAGAAATTGTAACAGACTTCCCTCAAAGGACGGTATTTCCAATTACTGATGTACATATTACGTTTACTGGAGTTCATTCCTCCTGTCAGTATTCATGAAATGCAGAGATGGGTGCATAGAACTCATTCCATTTCCACAGCGACTGTTAGTTTATGAATAACATTAACAGCCCTTCATGCGCATTAATATTGCTCTGTGGTGATGTCAAATTTCATTGGGGCCTAAATGCCTTTTGCATATCTACAGAAAGTTTTCCTACAGAAAGTGTTCAGATTTCTGTTTACCAGTGTTTCTATCGGAGCTGTTGGCGTGAAAACGTTTGTGCGGAAAATGCCCATGTATTTGCAAAGAAATGGCGCTAGGCTGGCTGCCTTGTCATCTTATACGATTGATTTGCATTTTTTATGTGCCTGCGTTGATTGGTAGACTGGGAGCCAACGGGGGCAAACCATTTCTGCTCCTTTTCAAAGCGTGTAAAATGCCCTAAAAATCGCCTGTCAGGAAGGCAAATAAAAGGTTCTAATTTAGGCCTAAACCCCCCCTTAATTCCCCTAACATAATTTGATTATAGATCTGCCCTTACCTTTGTTAGGCTGTTTCCAAATGGTTGTTTGGTTCGGTCCGGCCAAGACACAGAGCTGATGACCTCCACAATATATTTCTCTATAAAAGGCAATCTGTGGCAAAAACACAAAGTCAAGAAAAGAAAAATCAAAGAATTTACGGAAAACCTGGCTTTGGCACATTTCATACTCGATCTATACCTGTGAAGATAGTGAGTACTATGGTTGAGGCCGTTTGAATATCTAAATAGGCTATTTAAGTATTGGACATTCCATTCTGTCGAATATTCGGTCCTTTTTTCCACAAAATATGCATATTTACACAAAATGTAACACGAACAAAATTTGGAGGATTAAGAATTTGTTTGGCCATAGTGTTTGGTATAGCCTACATAAAGCTGCTTTTAAATTTACTTGGAACACCTTGCAATATACATTCAGAATGCAGCTTTTTGGGCCGAATTCTGGGCATTTACCTCGAATGGATCACTAATTTTCACATCGGAATATTCCACTTCAAAAAATTATTCGACTCTTCGATAATGGATCGAATATCCAAATGTTTGAATAATTGGCAATCCTTAGCGACTAGATCTTTGATTTGCTTACAGAGCACGGGTTAGTAGACCCTTCTGTCGTTGCCGATAGATTTACTACGGTGGCCTATGTTTATGAAAGCATTTATTACTTTTGTCCCTTCTAGGACTCTAATTAAAACTTTATCGTGTGTTTTATATCACACGTGTAATAAAAAGGAAACTCAACAATCCATACTGTAAGTGAAAAAGGGGTCCGGTTTACTGTTTAACACGGGCTTGCCACAAGAGCGCGCCTCCAAGGGTTTGCAACGCGTTGGACAATCACAATGCGCGAAACATGTCGACCTAATTTGCGCTTGGAAAGGGTTGACAGATTTCGCGCATTGTGGTTGGCCAACACGTTGCAAACCCTGGGAGGCGCGCTATTGTGAATCGCCCGTAGTAAACTGGGTTTCGATTGGAAATAAACATAATTATCTCCACACAAATTTACTCTTCAACGTGCAAAGGAATTATCGTTGAGGGCACTTCTGGTTTTGTTCAGCAACCGAAAAGTTTTGTTGTCAACTGGCTTGTAAGAAAGAATGATTGCACAAGGGTTTAGTCCCATAACCATCTTTAATCTGAGTGTGCTTTCCATGCATAACTTCGTTGGTTACTGCGTGGGATACTACAAACGATGGACTGTATCCTTGACTGCGCTCACAGACACCTTTTCAGCAACCATATAGACACAACATTGGTTTTGGCAATATTACCGTGAGACTGCACATGCCTGCGAAGCCAGCAGTTCTTTCGAAAGATCGCTCAGTACCATCTACAAATAACACAGTATTGTCTGCGAACTGAGAAAGTCTTTTCTTTTTGTTATTTACTGATGCACCCTTTAAAATGCTGTCATTACATATACGAATAGTCACACCAATGATCTCAGCGCACAAAAGGAACAATAGGGACTCGAGCTATTTCTTTGTCGACAGCCTCGCTATAACTGTAAAAGATTCTCGTAAGACATTGTTCACGAACATGATCATTTAGGCTGCCACGCCGTTATTAAGAATTTTAAACCATTTTTGAACTACGGAGCTCTGAAAGTGCCATCCAACTTGTTGAGATTTCTCGGGATGACGACATAATAAAGGCAAGATGCTGACATCCTGAGATAATTTATCACGGCATGACAATATCAGAAACGTTGGACGATGACATCCTTAGATAATGACGATAATCAGTAGTCCATGATGTCACCATGCAGGGACATCCAGCAAGTGTGATGTCTAAACTTGACAATTTGTAACAGGCGGTGAGACATCATCTAAATAATATCGTGTATGGCAACAGGACAATGCTTTGTAAACACTACCATATCAGGCCACCTGTTTTCAAGGTGTTTTGTCATGGCACCCATTGACAAATAATGTCATCATAGCACTTTTACGATGTCGTCATCCCATTATAAGTTGACTCAGGGTGTCGTCATCCAACTTTTAGGATATCGTCATCCTATGATAAATTACCGCGGGATGTTGCATGTCCTTTACAGGATGTCTTCATCCTGCGATAAAAGCTCTTATGGTGCCGCCATATTGCCCGTAATATGTCATCATCCTGAGATAAAATATGTCAGGATCTCGACAAGTAGGATGGCGCTTCCAGAGCTCCGTACTGAACAGAGGGGCCAAAGTTAAAAGAGATCCAATGCTGTCCTAAGGGCCATCAACGGAAACTTGCCAGGGATGTTATTACTGTCCTTAAACAAAGCAAATTGAATTTCAAACAAATATTCTCACCAACACACTGTCCTTGAACAGAAACCCTTTTGATTTTCATGAATGACAGTAGAAAGACATGTTTTGAGTCGCTCGGCAATACATCCGAAAGGTACTTTACACGAAGTGCTCAATAAACGAAATTGGTCCCCACATTAAGAATTGACGGGGTTTGTCAAGTTGGGGGTACATTTACCATATTGTCGAATAACTAACAGCCTACCAGTTTCTTTATATCTCTCATCAAGTTAGAACAAACTGGAGAACTTAAGTACCAAAAACGGACCGGATATTAACAGTAGGCACTCTTTATGAACATAGATACATTCTGAAAAAATCACCAGCTTCCTGAGTAATATTGTTTGAAGTCTTTAATTCTGGTATGTCCACTTTAGTAAGTCTACTAATAATTCTAATATCACAATTGCGTTTCTCCAAATTAAAAAATACTGATGGCCTCCCACCACGCTTAATTCGTTCGAGACCTTTCTACTGATAAATGTTTTGATAGCTGCGTATGGTATTCAAACACATAGGATAAGCAAAAACTACAAAGAGGAAGGTCTTTAATGTAAATATTGACTTCAGACAAACTCTACGCATTGCAATTACTGTTTCGATTTAATTAAAGAACACAATGATGGCTATTCACCAGCATTCCAGCATTTTTGTCCAGACTGACTTACTTTACATTAGGCTCTGTTTTTGCATTATACACCCATTGTGGAATTATGTGGAATTATCGGTACTTGTCACAAAAAGCCCACATTGCAAAAGTAGGTATATTACAATAGTGTAATAAACCTTGGAATATTCTACTTTGTTATCAAAATTGACAAGTGGGGTTGTCAAGTGGTGCTTGTGCATTACTTTTATCACTGAAGTCGAACAATTTAACCAATATCATAGGAATTCTTTGCTTTCACCTTCAAAACTAATCTAACCCGCAAAATCAACCAATGTTTATGAAACAAAAGCCATTCAAATCAGAAGTTATATATGGTCTATGAAATCCCAAGCGTGGGAACTACGTGTTTATAAAAAACAGTAAAAGAATACAAAATGTGTGATACAATGAACATAGTTGGTGGTCAATTCGGGCATAATTTTTGTCCATTCATAGAAACGAGAAGAAGTCCTCTTGACAAAATCAGCCGTGTTAAGTCTATATACATTTTAGCTAAAGAAACAAAGGGAAAACTTACAAGTATGTATTTTCCATTGTCTTCTGCGTATTTATCATCAACCACCTCCCCCCTTTCCGGCAATATCAGCAGTACGACCGTAATGCACTCCAGCAAGCGTTGCGAGGATGTAACGCCGTCCCCGCCAAATTTCACAACGAGGGTGTGATGAGTTCTCGACGAAAGGTCGGCTCGTCGGAGGAGCTGCTCCCGCGAGGACAAGGTTAGGCGGTCTCAGCAAATTAGAGCGATAGACATCGACCTTCCTTGACGTCACTATCAACTCGGAGTTATCTTTTTGGGTCAACGGATAGCGAGAGGCGGGGAAACGTAGAATCCCCGATTGTGATCGCTTGGCACCCGTGGCGAGACGAATAAGTTGACTTAAAAGCCAATAGTGCCAGGGAGAATTGCCTGCATTATGCGGAACGTAGATGGGAATAAGATACATATGTTACGAAACGGAAACCGCTTCCTTATCTTAGATACGTATAGCCCAGTGAGCTTTCCGAGCTCAGGTAGAATAGGCTGGTGCCTCACAGTTGATTCCATGACGTTCTTTACTGTCTGCACAAACTGCCTTTCAGATGGTCCGAGACAAAATTTTGATAATTCAGCATTTTTTTGTCTTTTCACCACAGTGACTGCATTACGCGTGTCAAGGCTGAAAACTAAAGAAGATAGTTGGAATCGACATTTATATTTCACCTCCTGAAACAAGGGAAAGCACAACTGCGAAATTATTGCGATATTAGACTAAAGGTACTCGGGAAGGAATTACTGTTTTCCACGCTTATCACTTCGTCTCAGTAGTTCGAATTGGCTACACACGTCGAGGGTCTTACTAAGTGTAATACATGCCCACAGTTGTGTCCCTTTGAAACCCCTTCGTAACTGAGGACTGCTACTGCCGCACCATTGTGTGAGGATTAGTGCAAATCGCACATACAGTCTATTCACCACGCAGCTGCTGGTTCAATGGGACCTGCTGCTGGACAAAGCCCTCCATTCAGGGCATACCATAGCCCAGCAATCGCGGTCACCCCTTCACGGTGGGATTATTTTGACCATTAAATGCAGCTCCTGTAGTTACAGGGTAGTTACAATGAGTCAACCAGTGGAGAATACACCAAACATGCAAGGTTTTCGTAACTATCAAACTACAATGAGAAGAACAAGGGAATCAATACGAGCTTGACCTGAGGAGAATAGACGGTACCAACACCCGAGCCGCTATTTATTCTCATGCATAAATACCTTTTTAGTCAGACAGCCAAAAGTAGTCAATATCTGATGGATTTCCAGCGATTTTGTTCTAGAAGTTTACTTTCATTTTCCCGAACACCCCCGTCCATTTTATGGAATATTCCTAGTGCAAATTGTCCAATTGGGTGCGCGTGGCAAGCCGCGGGTACACAGACTCTTGACCAATCAGAATCGATTAAACTGTTTGGTATCCGGGTGTCAGCGAATGATTTACGCAGCGGACATTATCACTTCTCAACGAGCACTAACAAATTTAAATACACGGTCACGTTGCAAGTTATTGAACGGGAAGACTGCTGTATTTATGAATGTTTGATTATATACGTCGGTTGAAGGGCAAACCTAGTGTAAAATTGACGTTCCCGTCTCAAAAGCCAAATTAATAACATCGCCCAATACGGGCAATTCACAATAGCGCGCCTCCAAGAGTTTGCAACTCGTTGGCCAATCACAATGCGCGAAATCTGCTGATCCAAGGCGCGTTTGGAAAGAGTCGACAGATTTCGCGCATTGTGATTGGCCAACGCGTTGCAAACTCTTGGAGGTGCGCTATTTTGAATCGCCAGTATTGTACTGTTACCGGTATGTCGCAGATCTGCCTAACATGGGATTAGCTAAATGTCGCAGGATTTCAGTAATATCCATCATTACTCACCGCCATTTACCGCTCCATCTTTGTCTCCTGGCCGATACGTGGCGATGAAAATGATGAAATAAGAATGCGGTATTTAAGTGTATAGCTGCAATCAGTTTCATTTAATATACGCCTTCACAATGCACCTTTGCACCCCAGTTAACTTTACTTTAAACTTTTATTCCACGATTTCAGAGGTTTTTTAGTATTTCCGTATTCATAAGCAAAACCGTGACATTATCCCAGGAAAAGCTTTAATAGTACATAGGTTAAAACGCACAACAGTCCTGCATTTTTGTAGATTTAGCTGGACAAAATGTTCTCGTCTTTTGTGATCCATTGTTTATGTGCATAGCAACAAGCATCAATCTCTCTCAAAATGGTTTCAATTAGTAAATGGTCAACAATTCAAACAGAAAAGTCTAAGCCCTCACATATACCCAGAGCACCCGCAACCATCCTTAAAGAGCACACGGATAATTTCAAACGTTCAAAAAGGGCACTTTTCAATGCATTTTACCAGATTTGAATGTAAACGTGATAATACACCGAAGAAGAGTACAAAGTTACAGAAATATTGTGTCGAAGAAAAATTCATTGCAGCTACACTTTGAAAACAGGAAATCTTTACAAGAGCACCATATGTATACCATTTACACATCACTATACAGAAAGTATTGAAGGTCACCAGGAAAAATGCTGTGGAAGTTTGTCACGGTTGTAGTTTCGCTGCAATCAATATTACCGTCGGTTATTGGTAACTTGATTTCAGGCACTTCCGCTTGCACCGTCCATTTGAAGTCCCCGTAACAAAGTGGTGTGAAACTGGAGACATTCTTGGATGGCTTGCACTATGAGAAACAAAAGCCTCGCCGATATAATGTACTCACGAAGGAATCCTCAAATATCGAGGCTTAATAAGTTCTTGCGCGTGTACTGCACAGCTTTTCGATCTTCCTTCACAATGTTCCAGCAAGTGCCCACTCAATTATTATTATTCGCAAGTCAGTCCCCCTGTGAAATTGCTTTCCATGAAGTAAAACACGACTATGTGAGGAATACGTCGGACCAATCTGCAACATGCTTTTGCAGTGGTCGAAGGGAGAAACGTGCACACCAGGAACACAACTCTTTTTCAACAAGTGCTCTTCCGTTCTTATAGCAGATCTTCAGGTCTTTCAGACAGTTCAATTGCCAGATTGGAATGTACGATCACGATTTCTGCAAGACGAAGCATATTCAAGATACACCATCTGTCACCCTTATTTCGCCACTCCGCAAAGTGAAGGACCCATTTATCCTGCGAAATAACTATTTCTTATCCCGAGGACTTCAGTCAACTTCACACCTTTTTTTAAAAGTGTTTGTCACCGTTCGATGCACCTCGAGCAGCTGTACTTTTCCGCGGTTAAAAGCAGTGCGTCTCCCTACCCGAACACTCTCAAACGAGACACAATTGAGCGCAGCGTTATTTGGTCAGACCCCTCCGGCTGCACCCCTGGGACGAGGCAATTCCTTGTTCTGCCCGGCCAGAAAATTAATTTTCCACGGCGGAAACTAGCGGAAGGATCGTTTAGATTAGTTTGTTTTCTGATTAAAACCTATCTCCGTCCCCAAGCGAGACGACAGGCCACCATGACTGATTTGCAGGTAGACAATACATGAGTGAATAGTTTACACCAAGCGTCCTGGCGAGGAAAAGGGCGATTTCAAGAACTTAAAATATTTCCCAGCCCCCGTCCAAGACTTTAATGAGAAGGGGTCCTGTGTGAAGAAACACCAAGAAGAAACACCAAGGGTATCAGACATGATAATTAGCAGAGGCATTGTTGAAATCGAAATTGTGACACCTTACACCGATTAAATTCAATTGCTTACTCTCATACAGCGTGTAACCAACAAATAAAGGCCAGCAATCTTTCCCTGCCTGGAATCATCCCATCATAGGCTAGATCCGGCCACGTGAGACTTCTGATTACCTCGCTGTATTTAGCGTGACAGAGGCTACCAATTCGAAACACTCTCGATAGCTCAGCTGCGAGCCACATATGAAATCATGCCAAGTGGGTTCTTCCACACGGACGGGAAGCGTGCTGTCCAATACCACCACATGTTCTCGTTGTGTTTGCCCGGCACTCGAACCTTCCCAGCAAGCCGGTGGTATTTGATCTTCTGTCGTCAAATACTGAAGGATGTGCCACGCAGTCCCTTCCAGAAAATGAAGAGAGAGAGGACTGGACGGTGTCTTGAGAGACGCAAAGGCTGTAGGTATCAGCTCACGGTCACAAATTTCAATCTTTTCGAGAATTCAATCTTTCAAGTATAGAGTGTGCGCGATAATGGTGTTATTAATCACATCGCTATCGTTCATCGGGTAGGTTGGAAAAACGAAATTGTTGCACGTCAAAAAATCCACCGCATGATTCTAACGAATTAAAATTCTACAAATTTGAACTAAACTTCACCATAAATAAAATCTTTTCTGGGCTTTTTTGAAGAAAAAAATGAGGACATTGAGATTGACGATTTTCGGGGCAAAAGTCCAAGTGTCCGCGTAGGGAATGCACTGTGTGATATAGCTGTTAAAAGAACATGGAAAATATATAAATTTATTTGGCCTAATTTCCTTTCACAGTTGGAAATCCAAAGGTCCTGAAGCAATGCCTCTTTTAGTAGACACAAAAAATAAATTAGCCATTTGCGAGTTTGAATAAAGTCTGGTACACTGAGTTATCTGATTGCACATAAACGTAACAGCTTGAATTCCTCTGACCGCACAGGTGCTATACCTCGTGATTCGGAGTTGAGCGTTTGCATGGCGGCCACATATGCAGCAAGGTATGAGACGGAGAGAACCCCCCCCCCTGCTTTGTGTTGGTCATTGTCTCGCAGGAATCTGGGGAATTCCTTTCAGACATCTTGGAGGGGATGTGTTAAGTAACAATAGTCCGGAATGTGTATAGGGGTTGGACATGTTGGGGGGTACCCCTCGGTGTCATTTCTTGCTGGGTATAAGGCGGCCACCACCTCTGGAATGGACTGGTTCCTTTGTGCACTTCTTATCCATTGAGAACAGTAAGGCGTCTCTTATGTAACTATACATCAAAAGCCTGCCCATAATCATAAGATATAGCAACAGTGTTTTCAGTATGGAGAATTTGAATTGTTACGTTCAAGTGAAAGAACTCAGTGTACTGGAGTTTGATATTCAAACTTAACTCGCAATAGGCTTATTGCAAAGAGTGACGACATCGTTGAATGCTAGCACTTCCACCGAATCCTAGCTAGGCGGACAATAAGAACAGGTGCATGGGCGGTGAAAAAAGGTGGCAATTATGATATGAAAATGAATAAGAAATTGAAGCAGGGGTCATGATATGAATATATAAACAATGTTTGTCATTGTTTGAAGACTGCAAACCTTCGTTTCGAAAGCTGCGACATAGATCGTTAATTTTCAAATCACTACGTAAGCGTAGGTGGGAATCTATAGGTTAAAGTTGAATAAATATTCGCTTAAACCACGGAGATGATTCCAGCCACAGTTTTGACAATGAAGCGGAATCAGAAATGCAGCTGGCCAGTGCAATACAAGAGATCCCACGCTACAGTCGACTTCTTATAGTCAATCGAATATCGACACAGCCCGCTTGAAACAACCTTTACAAGATTACCCTCGATATTTTCTCGCCCCTTAATTTGTTTTTCAAAAAGGAAACTGTTGAAAACGCATTCAGAGAATCCATACTCATAAGGGCCTTCGGTTGATCCCACCAATGCGTCATGCCTGTGGTTGTTTACAAGCATCACCTTCGATTTGAAACTCCCTTGAGTTTCAACACTTCATTCTTGACAGCGTTGGGCCCTCTGACTAGAATTAAACTTGAATAAATCAGCATCTTATCTTTTAATCTAGGTGGATGTTGGGCGAAGGTTTTGAGCAAAATGT